AGAGAGAGAGAGAGAGAGAGAGAGAGAGAGAGAGAGAGAGATGAGAGAGAGAGAGAGAGATGAGAGAGAGAGAGAGATGAGAGAGAGACAGAGAGAAGAAAAAATAAAGTTAAAGATAAAGAAAGATAAAAAAAAAAAAAAAAATGTTCAGTGGCAAAGCTCTAAGTTAGGCTTCGGAAGTGTAACTTTATCGCAACTTAGACAATGTTGAGTGTTTTGGGAGTACCAATTTAGAACCGTTTTGTATAATCTACTTGTTTAAGAAAAACAGTTATATGAAACGCCTCAATATCTCGTAGAAATATGATCTTTATGAAGAAAAGTAGTGTATAATTAAGAAAATTAGTTTCATTTTATATCAATTTCTATCTATATTACTAGCAATGCCTCTATTGTAAAAGATAAAGATAAAGATACTAATTATAAATTAAGATCTGAACACCCGGAGGAGCCAAACGTTTATTTATATATTTATTTGTTTATTTATTTATTTATTCATTTTTTTAGTAAAAGAAACGAATCAGTTAAACGTTTTGTTAAGCGAATTAGAAACTGTAAACAAACAAGACACAGAAGTCAAAGGTTAATCATAAACAAAACAAAACAAAAAACAAAAACAAATGAAAAAAAACAACAACACAGAAGGAAAATGTGTTTATCAAAAAAAAGAAAAAAAGTCACGAGAGCATTATTTTTTTTATCAACGTTATTTATTTATTTATTTTTTGAGTGAATTTGTACATTTTTTTTTTTTTTTTTTTTTTTTTTTTTTTTTTTTTTTTTTTAGTAACTCAGGTAATATAGAACAATAACAAAGTGTTTATAGCATTGAGGTGTGTCTTTGTAATGAAGAAAGTCGACATATATTTTCATCATATTATATTAAAAAAACAAACAAACAAAAACAAAAACGGTATTCATAAGGTAACTTCTTTTCCATAAAACCTTAACATATTTCGTAGTTCAACATTCATCTATAACGAAGCTTAGACTCCGTTATATTGAAAAAAATAACGTCGATTATGAACAAATCGCGAATTTCACTACATTTTGACAACTACGCTTTCTGTAAGTATAATAAAGGTATTTTTATCACGAAGAATCTGGTACTGATAGAAGACGTTTTTTTTTTTCTTTATCATTTCCTTCGCCAAATACTACTACTACTACTACTACTACTACTACTACTACTACTACTACTACTACTACTACTACTACTACTACTACTACTAATAATAATAATAATAATAATAATAATAATTATAAGGGTAGAAGAGAGAATGATAGAAGACGCTTTTGTTCTTTATCCTTTCCTTCGCCAAATAGTAATAATAATAATAAAGGTAGAAGAGAAAATGCGTAGAAAAGGCTTATGAATGAGAATGAATGTCTTAGATTTTTGACGAAGATAGAATCGATACCGATCAGATAAATCTCTTGTATTTGTGAAGATATTCATTCTCATTCGTACTTTTTATTTTATCTTTTTTTGGTTACATTTGTCAACATAAATACGGTTCAAGAGAGGATGTAAACGAAAAAAAAGTAAAAAAAGAAAAAGAAAAAAGAAAAAAGTAAAGTAAAAAAAAATATATATATACAGGGGTTCCATGACTCGAAAACAACACGAAATAAGAGACGAAAACGAAAAACAACAACAACGAAATAATCGAAGACGGAATCGTTAGCGAATGACGTCATCGAAGAGGGAAATCCAATGAGCCAATGAAAATGGCCGTTGAAGCGACGATAGACAACGAACGACCAATCTATTAGAACCCACAAGATTACGAAATAGATAAACCACGTGACGATAGAAGCAGGACCAATGGGAGAGTCAGTTAAATCAAGTTCCTTTTATGACTTAACTACGTATAAGGTGCTGTTTCGTCCATTGCATGTAAGATTATCATGCTAATAACGAAATACACGGACTTGGCGACTTAAAAATGATTAATTGCTTCGGAAAATAAAGTATCGGGGTCTGTCTAGATCGAGAATACGAGGTGAATATGAAAGTGAAAGTGAAGATGAAGAGGAAGGCGAAAATAAAGATGAAAGTGAAAGTGAAGATAAAGAGGAAGGCGAAGTGAAGATGAAGAGGAAGGTGAAAGTGAAAGGGGTTGGTGCTCCCTCCCCCCCTCTTCCCCCTTCCCTAAGAGGTGGTTCGCCTCCTATCTGCTGTGAATGTGCTTCGTAGTAACGAAATAACGGAAACATTTCCAAATTTACCGAAATAAACTTTACACAACACATAATGTAACCTTTCTTAATGCTCAGGTTTGTAGCTGAAATGAAAAGAAGCCTTCAGAAGGGTTTTGTGTTTGAAGCCCCTGGTTTAAACTATAGAAATTGCTCTTGGTACGAAAAGAGCGAGAGAGAGAGAGAGAGAGAGAGAGAGAGAGAGAGAGAGTGAGAGAGGATGAGATGATGAGAGAGAGAGAGAGGAGAGAGATGAGAGAGAGAGAGAGGAAGAGAGAGAGGAGAGTGAGAAGGAGGA